TTGTACACTCAGGAGACTAACAGTATCCCGTACGTTTCGTATATGACCAAAAAAAAAACCAACAAAAAAAGTTTTTAAAATAACTGCAAATTACATAGTGACACTAATTTTATGCTTGATAGTGTATTAGAAAAACAGTTTCAACAGAAAAACAAAACTGGTATTTTGGAATTCCCAAGGACGAAAGCGAATCAATAGAGCGAGAGAAGCAAGAAATGTGTCCTCGTAAGAAAAATTTGTGACAAAATACCTGTGTAGCCTATGTAGAAAACCTGTAAGTTTTGACTGTACAAAAACAACATGTACCAACTACATGTAAGTTTGGCATTTGTTAAACTATTTGTTCAAGGCCAAAATACTTTTGTGCTTACTATCCTATTGGCGACGTGCAAGTACTTGGAGAGGATACGAGAAACGATCGTGCGTGAGTAGTGGAGAAATCTTGCATCTTTTACTGCACATTTCATAGATTATAGATTTCATAAATTCATATTGTCAATTGTCATATTCGTTTTGTTTATTTACACCTTCTGTCACTGAAGAAAATGGGATTTAGGAAATGCTGCGTTATAAATTGTAAAAATACAACAAAAAAATGTCAATTTAAGTTTTATTCGTTTCCAACTTCAAAGCACAAAGCTACTACAAAGAGAAAAGTGGATTTATATCATAAAAAAGCATAAGTAACATAACCTAAATTATGCATTATTCTTGCGCCCGATTTTAAAGTCAGTTTGAAATAAATAATAAATAAAAGTAAATTTTAGTTTCATAACACTCACTTAGAGTTCATTTTAACTCAAAAATCAAGTTTAATGTTTGAATTTTATTTTTTTGAAGTTTACAAAAATGCAAGTTTAAGTTTTTCTGAAGATGCATTAAGATATATTCGCTGTCCAAAAGTTTACAGGGAAAGCATTAATTGTTCAAACCAATATGATGATATCATGGGCTTAACCTGCTAATTTATGCATAAGCAATATTTATGGTAATTTATTTTTCTTAATTCTTCCACTCCACATAATTCTTCCATTCTTTTTTGACATTTGCCACTACTAAAGCTTTTCCCTTTGACTCGTGCTTGGTTGAAAAGTTATTTGGTGATTTACTTTCTCAAATCCAGTTTTTATTATTGCCATTTTATTGTTAATATCCATATTAACAGTAATGCTGTAATTCAATAATATATTTATTTGTATTTACGCTACATCAACGTTTACCGTTTAATAACATACCGACATAACCTCAATCTTACTTTTTCTTCTTATTCTTTTTTGGGGCCACGTTCTTGACAGTTATCCGGTAAACTCGATCTAACATGAAAGCGCAGTAAATTTGGCTGATTTACGACACCAGGTGTCGCTGTTCCGAACTTGCACGGTCCCAATAAAAGGTCTGATTTCATGATTTTTTTACTATAACGAAAAGTCAAAATTGTACCTTTCACGACCTTTAGCAAAAAACTAGCTATTCTTTTTTTTTGTTTATATTTCGATTTAACTTATTATGCTCAATTGTAAAAAATGTGTTATATCGGTTCGCTGATCCTAGTCCCCACTGTCTGGTAAATTTAGTAATTATATTTGGCTATCTTGACATTGGTTAAATTTTGATCCACTTGCAGTGTTGAGAAATTACTATACAACCAAGCATACGTGCTTATCTGTTAGACGGCAAGTCTCTGTTTGTGCATTGAAATAAGGCTCCTCTAGTTAAAATTTGTATGCTTTCGCTTTGAGAATTACATAATTCTTTATAACCGTATCTTTACAACAGTTTTTTATATTTAATTTCAATCTCCTATATAGCCATCTAAAAAAAATCTAATTAGAGTAGATTTCTCAATCAAAATGACGTGGTTCCTGATTTAATCACTGGCAAACTTAAAATATACATAAACTAACTTAATTATTTACAATTTTTTGATAAAATTTTAAACACTTTGTTTATAATCTTGACAATGAGAATGACATCAATGTCAATGCAAATTAGCGCCATTTAAATTCGCACATATATTCAATTCCAATTTTCGTGAAGATTATATGATAATTTAGATCTCAATCTGTATAAGTGAGTATATTGGCAATTATTGTTATTGCAATTTTCAGTAAACATAACAGGTATGTATTTTCAGGTAATTTTTGGTTCTCACCTATATTTTTCTCTATTACAAATTTCTTATATCTCCTAAACCTGTTTTCCGATTTATGTGATTTTTTTTAATATGTTATAGCCTTATTCCTTGACAATATCTATATAATAATATTGTTCCTAAACAGGTGAATTTTCATTGTATACTGGGTGTACGAATCAAACTGTGCTTTTTTCTTAAAGTTTCCATCACCCTGTAAAATATTCTAGCATTTGTAGAATACTGAAATTAAATCGTAACTATAGCCTCATGCTTTCTCAACATTTTGTTTTTTGATTGATTCGCTTATATTGGATAATACAAATGTTAGGTGCTTTAATAACTATACATGTTTTTTATCAATTTTTATCTCCGCGGAAGAGAAAAAATAATCTTTTTGAAAAAAAGTCATTTATTACAGTAAAAACCCAATGAATAAAATCTTCGAAGAAAATTCAAATTAAGAATATTTTGGAAATCAAAGTCTAATTGAAAAAAAAATGCCCTTAGGACTTCTTGGAGCCCGTTTGGCAATCCATTCATGATATCCTGGATATTAGATTGGGGGATATTGTGCCACTTCTCTACCGCAGCTGTTCTCAGCTCTTCAAAGGATGCAGGGGCTGGTACTCTTGCTTTTATCCATCTTTTGAGATTGTCCGAGATATGCTCAATTGGGTTAGGATCGAGACTGTGTGCTGGCCATGATAAAACTTGAATCCCGACCTCATTAAGGTACTCACGGGTACTCTTGCTGTATGGCAACTTGCATGGCCATGCATTAGTCTGAAGTGATCACCAGTGAATGGTGCAAAAGGCATGACATGGTCTTGAAGAACTTCTTGTGCCTGGAGAACTGCCTCTACCGAACACAAGATCAGTACGCGCTTCGTAAGAAATACCTCCCAAATTATTATTGACCCTTCTCGATAAGCCACTGTTTCGGTTATAGCGCATGCAGCAAACCTTTCATTTCGACGCCCACGCCACGTTGGCGTCCATCTGGACCTTTTAGGGCTATTCTGCTCTCATATGAGAACAGTATATTCTTCCATTCCGACATAGTCCAGTTAGAATCTTCTAGCGCGAAATGAAGTCTAGCCCTACGGTGTTGTGTGAGCAGCTGTGGTGCGCGAGCTGGACGAAAAGCCCTCAAGTATACTTCTGATAGTCTTCTTCTAATCGTTTGTCTACTCACACTAACGTTTCTTACCTCAAGAAGAGACCTACGAGCTTCAGGAGCGGTGCAAAAACGATTTCTTAATACTTTAGTGACAATGAAGTGGCCATCTCTAACTGAAGTGCATCTTTTTTGACCTTGACCTGGCCTGCGGTTGTACGATCCTATCTTTTGCAATCGTCTGATGGCATCTTGTACCGTAGTTCTGGGTACATCGAGTATACCAGCGAAATGACGTTGACCGTAACCACCATCAACTTAAGCCACTGCCCTAGCAGCATCAGTTGGAACGAGTGGCATTTTTAAAATCACAAACAATAAGTAAGCACTAAAATTTCAACTTAAACAATATTTGCTCATAATGATATAAAATTACAATTTTAATTAGAAATTTAATTTTAATTGCAAATTGTTTAAGAATTGTTATTAACACGGAAACAGATTTGCAACAATATCGTACAACGACTATATGTCAAAAATCCTTCGATGACACAAATTTAGTAAACAAACTGTCACAGGTAATGTAAACAAAACAATAATAAAGATGGTGGGGTTAGTTTTGCTGGTGAGTTATTTCGTCTGTATTGATGAAAAACATGGCTAATTTTTAACAAGAAGCTCAAACATGAGGCTATAGTTAGGTTTTAATTTCAATATTTTATAAATTCTAGAATATTCCACAGAGTGATGCAAACTTAAAGAAAAAACAGTTTAATTCGTACACCCGGTATACAACGAAAATTTACCTGTTTAGCAACCATATTATTATAACGATATTGTCAAGGAATAAGGCTAAAGCATATTAAAAATCACTTAAATCGGACAACAGGTTTAGGAGATATAAGACATCAAAATTACCAATTTTTATGGTGGCCGGTTAATTTTGGCCATCGAGCAAAAAGACAAAAGAGGGAATGTAAAGGTAGTGGGGGCAAAAATATTGTTAGACAGGAAGTGGGATCTTTAGAGGCCACATTAAACAAGGAGAGAGAGTCTCTCTCCTTGTTTGACATCAAATTTAGTTGGGTTATGTTATTGTTTGTCCCAAATGTCACATGAAATCTTATTTATATTGAAGTTTTTTAACAATTGTGTCGCATTTTAGACTATTATCGTTAATAATTAATTAAAAGTTTCTCGTCTAAGACACATTCTGAAAAATATTATATATCTACTGTTAATAAGTGTCGAAAATTTTAAATTTGGCGCATTCGCATTTCCGGATATGTCCGCCATCAGAGGCCACTTTTTGGTCTCCTTTTCATAAGGATTAGATTCCCTCTTTTGTCTTTTTGCTCGATGATTTTGGCTCAGAGTGTAGTTACAGGTAGGAATTTTTGTGTTGTATGTTTCTGACAATGAATCTGTCAAAATATTCCCAAGCTTAGTGAAAGGACTATAGCTCGTTATTATCAATTAAATAATATCAATTTTAGATACATTATTTGATCATTGAAAATTTCTAGTAAACAAAAAAAACTATTTAATTAAATGTAAATAAATTTTATGCAATACTCGCCGTTATCTGTATTTGACAATTCTCATGATTTTTGTAATTACCGCCATTTCATTTTTCCGATAATTTTTAGACGTGGCAACTCTGTAACCACTGTACTATTCTGGGATAGGAGCACTGGGAAAGCACATGACCGACGCGCGGCGATGACAATCACCAACGCCTAGCATCTTCCTCACTTGCAGTTCGGTGCGCGGTCTGTTAACAGCCGATTACAAGTACTCTACCATATTCTTTTGAAAAGGTTTAAAAGAATAAAACAAAATGTCTCTCGCTGATCCCGTTGCCTTTATGAAGGATTTCCTCGCTGGAGGTATTTCCGCCGCTATTTCAAAAACATGTGTAGCTCCAATCGAACGTGTAAAATTGCTTTTGCAAGTACAACACATCTCCAAGCAAATCGCTGAGGATCAGCGTTACAAGGGTAAGATTTTATTCATTATTTAAGTGATTACATAGCATGGAAGCGATTTCCGGTTCACATTGTATTGTACTTTCTGCGGTACCATTTCATGAATCAACCGTTACATAACCAACGTTGATGATTTAAAACCTCTTAAATTAGTTCAATTCGTATTTTTATATGTTCAATAAGTAAAAATGCATGTAATATCGTATCAGCTAACTTTTAGTTGGTAATTTTTAAATAAAATTACAGCAAAAGTATTCTATGAAGTGTTATCAGCTCAAGGTTAAAGATGAATTTAAATTGCGTTTAAATCCGATTTGTACTAGTATTAATTGAATCGTGTTTGGTTTTAACACCAATAATGATAGTTATTGCAATGTACAACAGAAAACGCCATGTCTGCGTTGGATCGATATCGGAATGCCTAAATTGTGCCAAGAACAAGGTTTCTAGGGCACGTGTAAACGGAGTGTTACATAAAATGTGTATTTTAAATTTAATATAATTATATTAGAAGTTTTGTATTTTTGGATAGTGAACTATTCCAAAGTATATTTTAATTTCAGTTGTTACGTAAGAGATCAGATGGGTAAAGTTACAGTACTCATCTGCTAACCTTGATTCTCTGATAACAGTTAAAAAAAATGTATTTTATTCATTTAATACCTTTGTAACCATTAATTCAATTGTTCAGAAATTTTATCTTTTATCTTGAGATAACATTCTACAATGGTCAACAGATTACAGGAGGCGATTTCATATTTCTCTTTTTCCTTATATAATCTTTTCTTAGAATAATGGAAGGGCTTTAAACCTTTATCTCGACAGAAATTTAATTTCCATGTTGGCAGTGACCTGTGTGTGACTAATGGCGATATCCTTGAAATTGAAACATGTTTTCAGCAAGCCATTGTCATTGTAGCCGGTTTCTCAAATTCAAAACAAATAAAGGCTCTAAGAAGTTTTATAAACCCTTCAATTATTATATTATACACTTTTTTATGAAAATCAATGGAGTAATCACGTGGCATTTTCTTAACCCACCGTCTGTTAAGTACCACATGGCTGCGGCAAAATGGCGGTTGCTAAGCGACCATGAATCATCCATAGTTTACATTTCTCTTATGCACAAGAATTTAATTGTCATTTTCGGTCTTTTGATTTCAATTCCTACATCTTGTGATATTTATTTACTTATCTAAATTGTGTAACACCTTGAATAATGTATCTTTCATTCCATCCTTTTGTTTAAATTTGTTAAATGCTGTACATATGGTATCTTGGTTTCAGCCTTATATCCTATAATTTTTACATATTTTCATTTAAGAAATTTTTGTGGCTCAATTTTGTACATACTCACGCCACGATTTTATCCCTTGTGTCTGTGAGAGTACTGAAAGATGATTTCAAGGAGAGTAAATTTTGTGTGAAAACTATGGGGTTTTCTAGGGAATCTGTGTGAAAATTGAATGCATTTGCTGTGATAATTTTGTACCTTATGCTATAGAGGAGTATTGATTTTATCCCTTGTGTCTGTGAGAGTACTGAATGATGAATTCAAGGAGAATAAAATTTGTGTGAAAACTGTAGGGTTTTTTAGGGAATCTGAAAAAATTGAATTTTCTTTTGTGAAAGAAAATCGCATTTGCTGTGACATTTTCTCTCTTATGCTATTTTACGAATTGATAGAGATGTATTGATTGTATTTTTAAAAACTTTGGCATAAGAGCTGCAGGTGCCCCAAGGGTGTTAATTATGATGTAAACATGTAATGTCAATAGGTCACTGCCTGTGATTTTCTCCTTTATGTCACTTGAAAGTTTGTTAGTTTTCAACATAAGGAAAATTCTATTTTCAGGGAAATGAACCTGTTCAACTCTAAATTTCCTTTTCTTTTTGCTTATCTAATATATTTTCAAGTACAAAAAATACATAGATAAAATTGTGTTTGTACTTCATATTGAAATCTGATGGTGTAACAGTACCATAAAGGAAACTGGTTTTCAAATATTTGCAAAAATGAATGTTCATTGAAAAGAAAATTATTACTAAAATTTCCTGTGTTTTTTGACATATTTATATGAAGTTGCTGATCAAAAACCTTAAAATGTTTTACTTTTGATTCTGATATTAATGTTCCCATTATTTTCTATAATGGTACTTTCTATTGATTTAAAATAATGTTCCTAGATATAATGCCATGTTCAATTTATTCATTAGAAGCACATGTTCAACTCCAAGGTCTTTTGTTTGGCATTAAGCATTACTTGTTATCTATTAGATTACAAACTAACAAAAGTGAATTTAATGTTGAAATATTGAATGTAGTAGGGAAATCACCTTTGATCCTATTAGGAAATAATAATGTGATAAGCTTTTTCATATTTCAACAAGTATTTATCTACAAGGTCTTTTAAAACTTGCCCACTTAGCATTAGATAAATTTACTTTTTGGAAAATTGTATAGTAAATTATATTAAATTGATTAATGGCCCATCTTTGGGTTTCACCTTTAGCCTTTATTTTGTATTATATTAAAGATTGTTAAGTAAGTTCTAGTTACAGAAGAGAATGTACTACTTTATAACATGCCACTAGCAATACTGACCTGTATTATCGTTATACAGTTTGTTTGGATAGTTTCATACTGTGTCAGCCAAGTCAAAATAATTCATATCCAAGGCACTTCCACAGTTTAGACTAGACTAAAGATTTTGATTTCAGTATTGTTACTTAATTCCTAATATTCCAGTAAAATCTCACTGTTGCTTTACAGATATAATCTGACCTGTTGCTTCTGACTGATGCATCTTTCATACTTTATGAAATATGTCAGAAAGGGCCAAAATTTTCCAAAATATGCAAAGATCATATATAATATGGTCTCTCATAATGAGTTGGAGTTGTGTATGCACTATTATTCATTTCATAATAACTAAATTAAACATTTAAGTCAAGTATAGGTTACAATATTAATAATTCAGAGTTTATGATATTATTACCATTATTAACTCCACAAAATCATAATGGCAGTTTTCCACTTATAAGGACACAACAAAAACAAACACAACCATGTGCCAAACAAAACTGCAACTTTTCAAAAAACTTTTTTGTTTTTTGGGTTCTGCTTGGAAATAGGAATATCAAATGGTTTCGAAGTATTTTGGTGTTTAGTCATAGTCATGTTTTGTTTTCTATTGATTTACTAGTATGAATACGAATTTTTTACTAAATTAATTAGTTTTTGCTTGGAGGATTACTCCACATAACTCACATGTCTTCTTCTTAGGGTGCCTGTCCATTCCAAATGTTAGCAATTATTCTGGCTATGATGACTTTGTCAGTTGCTATATGAAATACTGTGTAGAGGTCTTTCTATACCATGCTCTCAGGTTAGCAAGCTAGGATATCCTTTGTCCTGGCGCCCTTTTTCTTTCAGTTCTACCTTGCAAAATGCATTGAAGTAGCTCATATCTGCCTTGATTTCTCATTATATGTTCCAAATATGGTAGCTTATGGCCTTTCACGATGTTGACCATGTCACATATCTTAATGAATCTTATTGCATCATGTCCAAAAGTGACAAAAGTTTCAAAGAAGAACTTCTTCAAAGAAGTTACAACTGGATAGAACTTGAAAGAAACATTTAAAATATAATTATTTTTAAATAACCCAAGTGCTTTTATTACTTTGCTTAATATGAAGTTATTGAAAAAAACTGGCGACTTGACTTCTTTGTGACAACCAGTAGAAAAGGAGCAGGGATAAAAACAAAACTCTAAACAAAATGTAGTCTGCTTAATGAAAACAAGAGATTTGGGTTTCAATTCATATTTTGTTTTACTTTTTTAGGTTCCAGAAAACAAAAACAAACTTAACTGTCCATTTAGTGGGAAACCATCTTATTTTGGTATTATTATTTAAAAAAAAATTATAACTTTGACACAAATGAATTCAATTTAGAATATTCTTGGTTCACTGATCCCAGTTCCAACTGTTGTATTCAGTTTAATAATGAATTTTTTGCAATATTGGACAAATTATAACTTTGACTGGAACTGGCTGTAAATTACTATGCAGCCAAAGCACATATGCTTATAGCCAATATTATTTGTATATTAAAGTAAACAGTTATTCGCATGCAGCTATCAACAAAATAAAACTGGCATCAATTAAAATAAATGTTTAAATGTTTATTTTTGAATTTTTTTAGTGATTTATAGATTAGTGTATACAAATATAAAGATTTAAATCAAAATTAATGACAATACACAGAAACATGAAAAAAATTTGGTTCAGTCAATATTAACAAATTCAAAAATCTAATGTTGTAGATGTACAACATCATGCATTGGCTTATCATTTTTTTTATCAGGCCTCAGTATGGAACTTTTTCAAACAGTCATTTTTCTTATCGAAACAAAAACTCAATCCACATTTTTCACATCATGTCTACGAATATCCAGTGAAATTTGGAAATTTGCACTGATTCCATGTAGCCAATATCATCCAGTGGCCAATTTAATCCAGCTGTACATCTTTAGGAGGGACATGCTGAGTTGATCCCCTTGTTTTTTTTAATACCAATCATTACTTCTAGTGAACTGGAAGATGGGCATCCTTGTTTAACATTGGTGGTTTGCCCAACTAGGCACAGCCATTTTGCTACTTCTGTTGGAAATTGGAAAAATGTGGTAGTTTCCATTTCTTTATTCTGCTTCCCTTTGCCAATTCTATAAAGTATCCAAGCATTAGCCAGTACCATATCAAGAAGGTGGTAAAAGGTATGGATATACCGTTTCTTATTTTTGGTGTGTATTTTGTGTTGAGCTGTGTTGGCATCAAGTAATCTACTCCGCCCATTTGTTTATTATACTCAGTGACAATAAATGAGCAGCTTATTTATTTAGAAAAGATTTAAGCTGCTCTTGTTCAGAATTTATAGGCAAAACTGCTTCTTCTTTGTCTAGCCATTCATGTCCACATCTGAACATAAGCCTCTTCAAGTCTTCCTG